CCCTGCTCCGTTCTCTTCTTTTTTAAATACAGATGCTATTTTTGTTCTTTTCAGCCTTCTGATACTTTGCTCATTCATTTTCAAAGATAAGCGCTTAAATTGCTTGGTTTGCTTCAGCCAATATCTTATATTTCCAAAGGTAAAGTTCTCTAGGGCCCAGCCATTTTGAACGTATCCAATTCACCTTAGCACTCCTGGAACAGTTTCTTTTTGTTTAATAAGAACTTCAGTGCTGATTGGTATTAATTACACTAAGGGAAGATTTCAGTGAATTTTTTTACTATGTACAGATTAGCATCGCTTAATGAAAGCACTCTTTATAACATTATTTTTCCAAAAAAAAAAATGCACATAATGATTTTAAGAACACAGGAAAATAATTGATAATCCTTGAAGTCCAATTACTTTGCTATCTTTTTACTATAACATTCCCTGAAATCCTACTCATTTGCAGAATTTTAAGAGCTATTGAATGAGTTATTTGTGTTGAAGATGCGCCGTCCTGTTCTTGCACTTCTGTCAGACATGAGGCAGAAAAGGCAGCAGAAACTGATAGGACGTAAGATATGAAAATCCCCCTTTTATTGCTTGTGAGACTCTGACGGAGGCTAATTCAGTATGCTATATACATATTATGTCTTTATTTGTTAAACAGATATAAAAATACAGCATTAACTCAAACACATGGCATGCTGTGTTATACTATGCTGTTTTCAACATATATGCAACGTCAGGATTTTGTTATTTCTATTTGATGAGAGAATGGCATTCTTGCATTGTATTGTGGAAAAGGAAGTTTCCTGGTCAAGTTTTCTTTGCTGCAGGGATACCATTTTTTGTGAAAGAAGCAAAAGCTTTATGGCTGTTGTGAGTGTTATTGATGGCCACTGAGCAATGTGAGTGAGGAAAAGATAGAGGTTTTTCTCCTCCTTGCTATTATTTTAAATTCTACCTGGATAGTGTAGCTCTGTTCGAACCTTAATTGGCATAGAATATGATTTCTCTTAATACTAAACAAATATAAGCAGGGTCCCTCTCAGATGAGAAACATCTCAGAGTAGCCGTGTTATATATTCATTGCATCTTTTCTTATTTCTCTTTTTTTTAGTCTCTTATTCTCTACCTAGGGATAGAACAGTATGAAAAATACATGCTTTGTTTAAATGAACACAGTATTTGAGGGGATTTATTTAAGTATTGCTTAAGTTACATGGTAGATATGAAAGAAGTGCACTTTGCACATGAAGAGGGAAATAGCAACATCTTAGACGGTTCTTATTCCTGCAGGTGTTTCTTCCCCTTTCCTTCATAAGCTCTGAAGAAATCAGTCTCCCATGTACCTGAATTTCTGTGCTGGCAGTCAAGAAGTCCATGTGTTGCCACTGAAACTCTCAGCTGTGGTTGTCCTCTGGGACATCCAACCTACCTCCTGTGTGGCACCTCTAGCAGCCTTGAGAGCTTTAAAAAGCTGTAGTAAATAAGAATCAAATGCTCTTTCTCCATTTTCAACAAATACGGGAAGGAGAAAGATTACATTGCAGGAGAAGAGACTTAAATTGGACAACAAGGTACGAATGCATGGATTAAGTTGCCTGAAGAGGCTGTAGGATCTCTTTCAACCGAAGTCCTTTAAGGACAGGTTAGATGAACATCTGTTAGGAATTGTATATGTAAGAAATAATCATGTACATGAACAGAGGGGTTGACTACGTAAGTTTCAGAGTTCCTTTTCAGCCCTATATATGATAACTAAGTGTTTGAAATCTCGAACACCAGTTCCTTTAGGTATTTCCTGAAGGAAGCAGGAGATGGATCTGATACCGACACAGGATTCCATATGGCCAAGGAAACCCACAACAGCCCTGTACCAAAGGAACAGGCTTCCCCGGCCCCCTGGCATCCGAGGAGCAAACTCTGGCAGCTTCATCTTAGTCTCTATGGGATGCTTCTATGTTGAATTAAGTTCTTTTGAGAAGTTTGCTATCACTCAAAAAAAAAAAAAAAAAAAAAAAAAGTGCAATAGACCAGCGGTATTGTCTATTTTAATCCATTTTCATTAGAAAAAGACTATTAGAAAATTGCCTGCAGTGTGGCGTTAGAGCATGAAAACTACGATTTATTACCCTTGTCAAAAGAAAAGCTCAGGGGACTTGTTTGGTGCCAGTGGCTATTCTTTATTCTTTGTTTTCTAATCTGAACACCAATTTGAGCATGAGCAATATTCAGATATATATGTCTAATGTAAAATTTAGTTTGAAAAGATTTAAAAGCATCCAGAAAATTGCCACGTGGTAGGAGCAGTTCCAAGATGAACTGTTAAAACCATTGAAAATCCTGCTTAATAACTGTGTAAACTGTTTAAAATGGCCTTTACCTATCCCTTTGAACGTGTGACTAAAAATGTTATGGTAGGTGAATAGCAGTTTTGGAATTTTTCCTTTGTTGTGTTGAATATTTGAGCTTTTCTCAGTTCAAAGAAAAAATACCATGGCTACAGTTCGATAATCTTTTTCTTTTTTTTTTTTGTTCTTTTTTTGGTATGGATTTTAAAGGTCCCCTACACTATTTGTAATTACATTATTAAGCAGGTACTTAAGGCAAAGTGAAATGAGTAATCCTTTATAATTGACAAAGGAAAAACGTGCTATGTACAGGATTTATGTAAATAATAAGGAGAAAATCAGATTTGTGTAAGTCTGTCTTTATTTCAGATCTGGTAGAATAGCAATAGTATTGCTAGTGGTGTTAAGCTGTAAACTTTCACAACTGAATGAATAAGGGTGTAAACTTTATACAAATACATATTACTATCCTGAAGTCCAGAAGCCTTTAATTCCTATTCCATCTAAATTCCAGGAATATATTCAAGCTGGATTATTCAAATTGGAATAGCAGGATCCATGCTGTATTTTTGGGGACCTTTCTCTGTTGCATAGAAGGGTACTTGTATTCCCAGTGTGACCACCTGGGAACTTATGCTTCCTTATATTGAAGGAAATCAGGATATCAGTTTCTCATGCTATTATTATGTGTTGTTATGCCATTTTTATGTTCTGAGGTTTTGTTTTGTTTTTGTTTGTTTTGCATAGCTTTTGCTTTTGAGCTATAAGCTTGGTAAAAGGTTTTGAAGGCCATCTGATGGCTTGTGATGTGCATCACAGAGGTCTGGAGGCTTCTTTTAATGACGTATTGCTTGCTGCCTTGGCCTCCAAGAGCCTTGGCCTGTCTGGGCTGCTCTGGGGATGCTGCAACTCAGGGCGCCTGCCAGGAAGGAGCGATGCGATCCGCGCCAGCAGCACCCTGACAAACTGTGCGTGATAAAGATCATCCTAGAGGGTTTCCTGTCCTCATGATGAACTAGCAGAAAGCAGCATCCAGGATCTGAACACCTCTTTGTCTTTGAGGCTTCTTAGTTTTTCTTGCCACTGGTACGATGCAATATGGTAATGTTTTGCTATTCATTCCCACCACGCATATGACTGCAACCTTGGTTCTGGGTACCAAAATGCAGTGCTTTATAACTCCTGTTCATATGTTGCCTTTATTATACCTAGAAGCAGGGGGGGGGAAAAATCTGAAATATATTCGTCTGGGATACAGATTCTGTAAAGGCTTGAAGATTTTCTTATGCTGCATTCTTGAAAAGTTTTAGATAGTATATTAGAAAATACAGATTTAAACATATATTTGAAATATATAAAATAAGTATGCATGCAGCTTAAGCTGCATTTTTTTACAGAAGTTTTTCCTGTTTCTCTGAGGAAATTTTCCTGTGTGTCAGATAAGCATTTATTTAAGTCTGTGAAATTACCTGATATGCTCTTAAATGAATTCTTCTCAGATATGCCCTAAATAGGAATTGTTGCTCATTTAAAAAAAAAAAAAAAAAAAAAGAAGAAGAAAAAGGAAGAGATAGACTCTTTCAGTGTGCCTGTGGGAAAAGGTTCTATTTCTGTGAAAATTATTACCTCTTAAAATGAATGTCAGGGACAATGCAAATATAATGAAGTTGATTTAAAGCCATAAGCATGAGGTTAATGCACTTTCCCAGTCCTTTATCCAGATTTCTTTATCTGAACATAAGATTTTAATAACAGCCCAATATTGAAAATTAAGAAAATAATCATCACAATGGAAGTTAGTTTTTCTTCCTCTCTATGTCTTTCTGCCAACTTCCTTCCATAGGAAAATGCACATTATACCTGTTTGAACATTAGGCTTCAGAATACAATAATCTGTCATTCATGCAGCTCTGCAAATTATATGTGAGAAATTGCCATTGAAGGCTTCACATTTATCTATAGCTGTGCAGGATTGCATCTGAGTGTTGCAGGCTTTCATATTACAGAATAAGGAAATGCTATATCATGAGTGGTGTCCATCATATCAAATGACAGTGTCCCAGTGTTTCCTTGAATTCTGTCATCCTGTGATTTTTTTTTTCCCCCTCCTTTACAGTGTAAGTACAATGGGACAAGGACTGGTCCCAGTTTCTCTGTGGCTGTGTCAGTTACAGTAGTAATAATAATAATAATGTCAACCACTTTGGTATAGCAACAAGAAAATGACTTTGCTCTTCAGTCTTCTTGCATTAACATGTTTTATTTCCACTAAGCAAAACAAAACTCTCAAGACTGTTGAGTGCCATCCTAGAGTGTGTATTGTAACTGTGATGCATAATCAGCGAATGTGTAGTTAATGTGAAATTATTTTAATGCATAATGCTTTCCTTGTCGTGTAGATGAAAAACATCTAAAATCCTGAGTATTGGCTGTGATATGAATTATTTAACAATACCTGACAGATTCAAGGTACATCTCAAGGTGATACCTGAAGGACAGTTTTGAGAATACATTTTCATGCTGAGGTGTATTTCATGTTGACAGCTATGGCAGTAAGATGCTCAAAGGATTTTAGATCTATTTAAAAGTTTTAGAGTCTTAGGTCATTACCTGGAATGTATTCACTCCACTAAAACTTCTTAAATCTTAATCTCTTTCAGTCCCAGCAAAGATGCATTGTGATCTTTGCACTGGTATGCTGCTTTGCAATTCTGGTTGCACTGATATTTTCGGCAGTGGATATTATGGGAGAAGATGAGGATGGACTCTCAGAAAAGAACTGTCAAAATAACTGTCGGTAAGAGGTAACAAACAAAACTTCTCTTTTGGGGTGGATAAGTACATATGTGTTACATTATGGTATGTGGTAAATTACATAGACCTGTGGGTGTAGTTGGGAAGAGA